AGAGGAAACACAGAGCCGTAGATGGATGGGGGAGGCGGCACCGGGGGAGGCGCAGGCGGGCGGTCGGGGGAAGGAAGACCGAGGAGGCGATGGGTGGACATCGGTGGCGAGTGCTGCTGTTGCTGCTCCACATCGACACCAGAACCTCCAGCTACACCTCGGTTACCTCCAGGACGCTCCACGCCAACACCCATAAAACGAGAAACCTCTCCAGCACCTTTTGCCACCCCCAAGACCGCCGGGACAAGCCACAGCAGTACCCCCAGGACGAGCACCAGGGGACCCAGTCCAGGGGTCGGCAAAACCTACGGCTGTTGGGGGTGTGGCCACAGGTCAAGCAGGTGAGCGGCATAGTGAACAACAAACGGCCACAGAAAATGGGGTGCACTGGCATGGATCATGGAGGTATGAGCCACCTCCATGACCAAACCGATGTGTTGCTCAGCGACCCCATTCTGCTGTGGGGAGTCCGGCAAGGTGTACGATTGGGTGATGCCCTCCGCACGACAGAACAGGCCAAGCCGATCGGACGGGAACTCGTCGCCATGTTCAGAGTGAAGACGCCGCGTAGGGAGGTCGCGGTAGACTCGCGCAGCTATGACCCACGCGATAAGAATGTCAGACACGTCAGCCTTCCGCTCCAGGGGAAACACCGTGGTGTAGCGCATGTAGTCGTCGACGAGCACCCAAAAGTAGCGTTCTCGACGCGGCCCAGGAACGCGGGCTGGGCCCTAGACGTTTAAGTGTAGGGTCTGGAGTGGCACAGTGGTAGGGGGAAGCGAGGAGGAGTGAGGGGTATGGTGCAGCCAGCCCTCGACGAAGGCGCGTGCACGGCGGCGCAGGCAAGGGAGGGAGGGCAGAGAGTGACGCGGGGAGATCTAAGACAAGACCGTGCTGGGACTATAACGAAGACGTGGGATTACGGGGTGACCTAAGCGGTGGTGCCACAACATCGACAGGTGGGTGAGTGACAGACACGAGCAAGCCGCAGCGACCTGGAAGGGCGCAACCTCCTGGGGGGACGCTCCCAATGGGGGGGACGCGGTGTCTAGAGTGAACAGGCCAAACACCGGGCCGGTTATATCGGGACGGTTATTTATCAGTGCTGTCACGCTGACTTGACACTTTCGATTCTGACTGTTGGGTTGCACGGTCAGCGGTGTGTGACCGTTGCCCTTTCATGACCTGTGAGAGGTGTCGTCAACATGGGTCAACTGTCGGTGGTACTGTAGCAGGGTTTAACTCGGTAATCCTCGTTGTTGTAGTCTTTGCATATGCGTACACCCACGCGAGATATTGGAAATGCTTTACGTTCATTTGACATTTCCAACAAATCATGCCCCTCATATTGTGCTCCAACAGGCCGAGTTCGAACCCCGTTCTAGTCGTTATTCGCGAGGAAGAGAGGATGGGGGGGGTGGGGGTCCTGAGAAGGTTCTGTTTTAGTGTGAAAATCCATTAAGGGTGACGCGTCAGGGTACCAAAACAAAGAACATACTATTTACAAGGCCTTACAAAACGAGAACCCTTTTTGTGTGAACAAATGTGGCGTGACTCTTCAGGTCACAATACTGTCAAAGTAGCTAGCTAGGAAGAGGAAGCCATGGAATGGCGTGAGGTTTTGGAAAGGGAAAAATATCGAGAGAGAAGAGGGTTGGACTAGAAGAGAGAGGGATACAAGAAGGGGGGTTGTACCCTCTACATTAGAATCCAGTAACACGTACCAAGCCTACCATTATATATATCTCAAATGTATAATTTAACACACCCTCTAGGCTTGGTAGCTGAAAGCCCACCACACACACAACACACTAAGCCACACACCCCCTAGCACCCCCATACTCAGCAGCAATGACGGCTACTCCAGCATGGTCAACGCCACTGTGCGTAAGGAGGGGTGACGTCGACAACGAGGGCAGCGGCTGCAACGGCGGCGACAACAGCGGCGGCGGCTGTGGCATGCGGCGGCGTGGCCAGCGGCACCAGCTGCGGCAGCGGCGGCTTCGACGACAGCTACCGGCGGCGGCGGAGCTCGCAGCACTCGGCGGCGTGGCCAAGCTCCGGGACAGTGGGACGGACGGTGTGAGTCAGCCGTCAGATGCGGCGAGGAAGAGGGGACACAGGGGAAGGGGGCAAAGCTTCAGCAGCGGAGCCTGGGAGCGTGCCGCCCCGTGTGGCGCGCAGGCTACATGCAGGCATGCTGGCCAGCGCTAAGATGGAGTGTTGGCCGCTGCCGACCGTGCCGTACGCGCTGGCAGCACGTCGCCACGGCAGCACGATGGCGCTGTCACGCTGCCACGGCTTGACGTCGACGCCACGACACTGCGACACCACGGCAGTGAGTCGAGACAAGCGCGGCAGACGACGCGGCCGGCAGAACGACGACGACGCCACAGCAGCATGACGCAACCGCCATGGCAGTGCAAGAGACAGATGAGGCTGCGCGGCGGAAGCGTGATAAGCCGGCCCAGGAAGAGCATCCTGCTCTAAAACCATGTCAAAGTAGCTAGCTAGGAAGAGGAAGCCATGGAATGGCGTGAGGTTTTGGAAAGGGAAAAATATCGAGAGAGAAGAGGGTTGGACTAGAAGAGAGAGGGATACAAGAAGGGGGGTTGTACCTCTCAGTGTAGAAAAGTTGACTGGAATGAGACATACAGGTTGATTTTGTGCAAGTGTTGTACCCTCTCAGAGCATGCACCTATCTAGCCTATTATAACATATACAAATATGTTTGACACACCCCCTAGGCCAGATGAGGGACAGTGCCTCGAAGTCGACACACAACTCAGGGTGGCACTACTAGTCCAGCCTCTGAGGCAAGGGTCCGAAGACCAGTCGGCAAGAGTACAAACAAGATAAGAGCAAACCAGGGCGGCACTACTAGTCCGACCACTGGAAGAGAAGCCATAAGGCCAGTGAGAAAGATATATATAAAAAGAAGTACACAATCAAGGTCCTAGCAAGTGAGTAGCTACAGGAACTAGACCAAGCTGAAAACAGTGCCGCAGATGATCTTTAGGCGCAAGTGCCTTAGTAAAGATATCAGCTATCTTGGCACCGGAGGCCAAGTGTACTACGCGGGCCTGGCGACGATGCTGTAGCTCGCGCAGGAGGAAGTACCGTAGCTGGATGTGCTCTGCTCTGCCCTCCAGTCGAGGCTCCTGACACAGGAGGATCATGGCCCCATTCTTAGCGTACATGACTGGGGCAGAGGTAGGCCGCTCACCTCAGTCTGTGAGCAAGAAAGTCAGCCAGCGGAGCTCCTGTGCCGCCATGGCACCAGCGTAGATCTCAGCCTCACAGCTGAACTGTGCAACAGACGACGAGCGGGTGGACCTCCATGAGACCGCGCCTGAACCAAGGCTAAAGCAGTAGCCGTGAGAGGACCTGAGGGTATCAGCGTCGTCTGCCCAAGAAGCGTCTGTGTGTCTAGTAAGGACCATTGGCCTACGTCCTCCAAGTACTAGCCCCATGCCCAATGTACTTGCTAGATAACGCAAAACCCTCTTAGCGCCCAACCAGTGGTGTGGTTGGGTTCTGCCTGTCGCCACAAAGCGAGCCAGGATGCTGAGAGGGTATGCAAGATCTGGACGAGCGCAAGTCATCAGGTACATGAGGCAACCCACCAGCTCTGCATAAAGACCACTGGGCTCTACTGACTCCTCAGGAACAGGAGCTGAGAGCCTGTGGTCTACTGGCAGAGGTATAGGCTGTGCTAAGGAGAACTGAAGGCCGAACCTCTGACAGACCTGGCGCACCCAGTGTGACTGTGTGAGGGTGATGGTGCACGCTGCTCTATCCCTGGAGATCTGCAAGCCAAGGTAGCGGCGCACCTCTCCTAGGTCACTGCAGATGTGTCTCCTCAGCAGCTCGGCCTTCACGGAGGCCAGTGCGTCTCTGTCTGCAGTAGCGAATACCAGGTCGTCCACGTAGATAAGGATGTAGAAAAGAGTCTGGCCAGCATGAACGAAGAGCGAGGGGTCTGCAGAGGACGGAAAGAATTGCAGGTCACCTTGCGTAGCACGCAGCGTGTTGTGCCACTCACAGGGCGCCTGTCGCAAGCTGTAGACCGAGCGACGGAGGAGCCACTGGGTCCTAGAGGGGAAAGTACCGGTGAAGCCCTGTGGACGGCGCAAGTAAACCTGCTCGTGTAGGCTGCCCTAAAGAAAAGCAGTGGAGAAGTTGAGGGATTGGAGCTCGTAGTCATGCTGTACTACAACGTGTAGTAGCGCCCGAAGAGTAGTCATCTTCGGGGTCGGGGCGAAGGTCTGAAAGGAGTCCACCCCCTCACGCTAACTGAAGCCTCGAGCGACGTAGTGCGCCTTGAAGACAGGCAGCTCTCAAGAAGGGCGCTTCACCTTGAAGAGCCACCGGCCATCGACTACGTTCACCCCAGGTGGATCTCCAAGATGTCATCTCCTGCTCCATGGCAACTATCCACTGAGAGGCCCAGGGTCCGGAGGTCGCCTCAGGGTAGGTGCGAGGGGTCGGGTTGTCAAAGGCATCTGGGTTACCCTCAGGGATAGCAACATGGAACAGAGATGGGGAGCAGCCTCAAACAAGAAAGCAAGCTCGTACTGCCTGTCCTCTAGGACGTCAGTGCCAAGGGCAGGAACACCCCCGACAGACGGAGGGCAGGTAGGGCCAGAGACCAGAGCGGTGACGTAGTCAAGGCGGCGGGTAGAGGCGAAGTCAGTGACTGGGGAGGTGCGCTGGGGGCCGGCGGGTACGCGAGGAGCCGATGGGTATGCGAGGGGCCGGCGGGTACGCTAGGGGCCGGCGGTATGCTAGGGGCCGGCGGTACGCTAGGGGCCAGCAGGGACGCTAGGGGCCGGCGGACGCGCTAGGGGACGGCGGACACGCTAGGGGCCCGTGAGGCGGTAGGCTAGGGTGAGGGGCGGAAGCGGGTGGACGGACCTAACCTACTATGATACCATGCTAGAATACAAGAATGACTAGAATCAAGTGTGAACAAGGAAGATATAGGGTTGGAGTTGTACCCTCTAAGAACACACACCTACAGTATCTAGCCTATAACTTCTACATACAAACATATGTATAAGTTGATGTGTATTACTCATTCTAGTTCATTGCATTATTCTGAGAGAAACGACTTCTTGTCACTCTCACCCGCTATATGCTGATCGGCGCAGGGCTATATACCGAGCGCAGAAGTTTGTGGTGTTGCCGGTTTTCCCCCTTCCTGCAACCCATACTTCTCAGCCTGATAGTACTTCCTCTGATGCAACCTCAGCACACTCTGGTTTAAGTCTCTCTCTACATGCATTTGCAAATAGTACTTCACATCTTTGGTCTTGGAACACTTGAGATGCATCTCTAGTATCTGCTCTACTCTGTGAACCAACACAGTCGACTGAGTGAATGAAATAATCCACGCACATCAAGAGCATAAGAAAGCCATCCTTCTTCTGCAATAGGAATAAGTTGGGATCATACTCATTCTTCTTGAAACCTTCCGTTAGCAGGGCCTCCTCAAGTTTGTGATAGTGGGCAACATCGTGTGTCCGAACTTCTGATAGTGTCTAGGCGTGAGAACTGTAATAATTTGACAGGTGTTGCAGGAGACTAAGTATAGAATCAGCAACCACGAGTACTTAACCAAGGATCTTTGCTGGAATGGTAGACTATTAAGACAGCGGAAGTCTTATCAGAGTGAACCTGAGCACATGAACTTGTGGGTAGTCGAAGGTTGAATAACCTGAGCACATAATTCTGTGGAAGGTCAAGGTTAGTAATAGAAAGGCATTACAAGGATTTATAGCTCTAGGGAAAGTACCTGTTCGGCTAGTTTCGCGCTATGCGACCTATTCGTCATACTATAGGGTCGCGACTGCTCGCGTGACTGAAACGACTCGTTACGCCTATTCGCGTAACTGAAACGGTATGCTGACGTCATCCCGAGTCCCGCGATGCTTTGCTGACATCAGCACTCGGGCATGGTTGCTTACTGAGAAACTCGATACCGCTAGCTACACTGAAAACGGAACTTGCAGGAGTGCAAAACTTCATTTACCACAACACTCCCCTTCATTCCTAGAAGTTCGATGTAGTCACGTCGTGGTTGGAGTCCGGCGAATGAAATCTGCAATTTGGAATCTTGTGACGTGTCAACTTCATGTGCTGTAAGTAGTCGGCGGTCATTCCATTGGTCAAATGGTAGACCTATCGGGTTCTTCCCTTGTTGATGACGAATTTTGGCTTTGACGAAGTGCGTGTACATCCTCCTTCCCCCCCTCACTTCGGCAGAGTGAAAATGAGTCGGGTTGAAAGTGGTTGGGGTTGCGCCAATGATCGTGGCAAGGCCGAAGGGGACGAATGCAAAACCACGAGAGTGTTGCACGTGGTGGAGAGGAGCCTCGACAACGTCCGGAGGCTTGACAAAGAATCGTAAAGTGACGGGCAGAGAAATTTGTTGAGTCAGCAGTGCATGCAGCTGCTCACGTAGCTCGTGTAGGATACTGTTCAACCGTTCTGCTTCGTTGCATTGTTGAACGCAATGACGAGGGGTTTGGTAGCAGTTGATGCCCATGCCTTGCTCGTAGTCGTTGGAGGTCGTAGTGTCGTAATCGGCTTCTCTGTTGTATAGGAAAGGCTGCAGCGGGGAACTGAGCTCGCTTGCTGCTACGGCCAGCCAAGCAAGTAGTAAGAGGATGAAATATGAAGGTAGTAAAAACCTTGAGAGTGCATAACCTTTCTCTAGAAGACTGGTAGTTGAAGAATTGTCAGAAGTCTTCTCGAGAGTAGTTGTAGCGTCGAAGAATAATTCAGGTGAGAGTTGCAGAGTTTCCTCGTCTTCTTGACTAATATCTTCCTTGATATTAACGGCAGGTGTGTTGGCAAGGATGTCGGTGGTGCTGCTACTCTGATTTTCTCCGTCGATGCTGCTGATATCCATTGGTGGAGTGGTTACCAAAGCTACTGCTGCGATGATTGACGGAGCTTGAGGGAGAGTGACATCCTCGGAAGATTTTGCTGCTTTGAAGCGTAAGACAAATACGCCATTTTTTGTTGCTACTCTTCCGAAGTATGTGTTGTCCACATCATGTATTAACTCTTGCTCTTGTGTCGTGCAGTTTCCGACCGTGCGGATTTTCTTCTTCAAGAGTTGGTTAGTTGACACTAAATTTGTAAGGAATGAGTAATTCCTTACTGAGGCTTGCTACAGGGCGTACGACTCGAACTGTCCCGAACCATCGTTAGGGTTCCAGACCTTTCAGTTCGAGCCTCCTGGGCCTTTCCGGACCTCGCTACGACACATCGAGGCCCTTCGATACCTTTCCCGAACCTTCAGATCCTACGTCCAGGATCACCCTAGGCTTTCTATATATTGTGTGTTTTTTTCATTTTATTGTCATTCACTCGTTCACAGTTTCGCCATTGCCCTCCGCGCTACTCGGCAGTCCCATTCATAACAAAATTGAAGCCGAGGTTGTCGATGAGTAAAACGTTGGTAAGGCGTAAAGAGTTTCCTGTATTGATTTATGTCAAAATGATACTGCCGATATTTTGTGCTGCAGTTGTTAGACCGTTGGCGAGTGTGATTGGGCAGGGTTGAAGAAGTCGACGACGGTTGTAGATGAAAGGATTTTTTTAAGAGACCATGTGGTGGCCACAACAACACTCCAAGTACCAAGTATCGGTATTTGTACTACAATCAGCCATGTGAGTGGATGAAGTAGGTAAACGAAAATTTGAAGTTACCGTATTAGTGGCAGAGTTTGAATTAGTGGCTGTCGGCTTTGATGAGTTGCTTGGAGAGGTAGAACTGAGTGTCGTTGGTGGTGTTGATATTGCAGGTGTTGCTTTTGGAGGTGCATGTTACTGAAAAGACCGCTTCGAAGGCTGACGTAGCTGCTGCGATGATTTCGACTGTTGCGGTTCTTCGGGAGGTAAATACCTCTTCTTAAAGTAGCACCGGTCAGTAGAATGTCCTCCCTTGTTGCAATTATAACAAAAGCATTGAGGACATCGAGTTGGTGTTAAATAGAAACTGAGTTGTATATCCTCCCTTTTGGTGCGTTGTGACTGCAGGTGAAGATGTTGTTGTTCCGCTTGAAGATATGAAGAAATCTCAGCTTCGGAGAGGTTCGGGTTCATACGCAGGAAGGCGCGCGTCTGTCGCCATTCGGGTCCAAGGCCAGCAAGAGGGTCCGTCAAATACATCTTACGAGGGAAGTATCCACCAGTCTTCTCCAGTTGATCTCGTAGTGTACGGACGCGGTTGACGTAGTCCATGACATTTTCGTTTGTCATCATCTGCACACTTGTCAACTGTGAAAGAATCTTACTCACTGTTATTGTATCTTTTTCCATGTATACCCCCTTCAAATGATTCCATGCCGTTTCAGCCGGCGTAAAGCTTGAATGAAAAGATTGGACGCCGAGCTGCTCCTTTGGCGATAGGTTTCGAACAAGAACCGTATACGCTCCGAGAGAGGCGTGCAAGAAACTCTGCTGCTCCAGTTGTGTTCCCGTAACAGGATATGTAAACTCGCCGGTGAAGAATGGCCATAGCTCAGCGGACTGCGTCAGAAGTTCGAACTCGAAGCTCCATGAGTAAAAATCAACTCCGTTAAAAGGTATAGTGGTCTTGATCTGTATGCTATTAAGTAAATTTGGTGGTTGAAAATGATACCTTGTTGTTGAGACTGTTGCTGTTATTGCTGTTGCTGTGGATGTTGCTGCTGTTGTTGCTGAGCAGGTGAACGCCCGAAGATGTAGAAGGGCTGCTGCTGCTGCGACTGTGGCTGCTGCGCAAAAGGTGAGAAGGCAAATGAGCCAGAACTTGGAGTTGAAGCTCCACGCATATATCTTGAGCCGTCAAGGCTCATTCCACTGAACGTCGACGATATAGACTGTGTTGAAAATTGTGGTTGTGCTGATGCTTGTTGATGTGTTGTTGTCTGTGTTTGTTGTTGTTGCGCTGCAGGTGCAGTCGATGAAATACCTAGAGTGCTGACAGAAGGCGGATTCTGCTGCTGCTGCATACCAATGTTCGTATAAGCCGATGGAAACGGTCCAGAGGCTGAAAGACCAGTGGCAGTCGTAGAGACAGGTACTCCAGTAGTTCCGGAACTGGATCCGGTAGATTGTGCTGGTGATGAACCAGTCATTGTTGACAGAAGTCTTAATCCCAGATAGCTCTCATACCATGTAATAATTTGGCAGGTGTTGCAGGAGACTAAGTATAGAATCTGCAACCACGAGTACTTAACCAAGGATCTTTGCTGGAATGGTAGACTAGTAAGACAGCGGAAGTCTTATCAGAGTGAACCTGAGCACATGAACTTGTGGGTAGTCGAAGATTGAATAACCTGAGCACATAATTTTGTGGAAAGTCAAGGTTAATAATAGAAAGGCATTACAAGGATTTATAGCTCTAGGGAAAGTACCTGTTCGGCTAGTTTCGCGCTATGCGACCTATTCGTCATACTATAGGGTCGCGACTGTTCGCGTGACTGAAACAACTCGTTACGCCTATTCGCGTAACTGAAGCGGTATGCTGACATCATCCCGAGACCCGCGATGCTTTGCTGACATCAGCACTCGGGCATGGTTGCTTACTGAGAAACTCGATACCGCTAGCTACACTGAAAACGGAACTTGCAGGAATGCAAAACTTCATTTACCACAACAAGAACGCCATCTACTAAGGGTATGTTTATATGTCTTTTGACATAAATGGGCCTTCGTTAGCACTACTGTTTAACAATATGCGTTTTCAATTACATCTTTGGGGGTTTGGGCCGGGGCACAGGTTGGAAGCAGAGGCATCCCATATGCGACTTTAGTTATACCTTCAGTATTCCACTATCGTGGTCGTTGAAACCCGCGGCCCAAATTGTTCAAGCGTAGCGTATAAACTTTGACCCTCATGCTGTACGAAATGTCAAAGTCTGAACTAGGAAGAACAGAGGAGGCCGCCATGAAATGGCGGCCAAGGGTTTAGCTAGGAGCTGGACGAGAGTGTCGAGAGAGAAGGGGTCGTAGACTAGAAGAGAATGAAGTACAAGAAGGGGGTTGTCCCCCCTACAGTAGGATGCAGTTAGTAGCATAACTACCAAGCCTACAATTATATAAAAATATAATTTGAACACGAAATACGCTGGAAAATCGTGAGGGCGTTTACTCTCGCAAATTCAACGCTTGTCGTGAACCGTCAGATTTACAAACTCACAGTTTGACGGATGAGATTACCAGGCCCTGAGATATCAGCCTTTTTAGGCTGATTTGGATTTCGAGTCCAGGCCATATCTTGGCATTGGCTGGTGCAAATGATGCAATTTCTTTTGAGGGACCTGCTGTTGAGAAATAAGTTGCAATGGGCATTTTGCAAACACTGGAAAATCATAGACAACAGGAAAAAACAGCCATTGAAATTAAGCTAACCAGGGCTTTAAGGTTGATATCTCAGGGCCTGGAGATTACCTTTCGACTAACTGGGGCGTGTTTGGCTTACGCGTCGTCAGATGAAAATATGGAAAATCTATATGGTTGAAAAACGCTCAGCACCTGGTGTTCCAAATTACCTTCCGCACTGAACTTGAAAGGCACCCCTGAGTGACGAGAGTCTCGTTACCCCCCAATACACCCACGGAAACGCAACTTTCAAACGCACAGCAATTGAAGGCCGCGCCTCACAATTTGGGCCGCGAGTGTTTTAGGTCACAACAATATTTGGTATTCATTTAAAGCTTGAAAGTGCTTGAGAGCTATTTTAAATTTATTCTAATTATGGTATATACAGTAAATGCGACAAAGTTTTTACTGTTATGATTGGGTGAATGAACTGTTTTACTCCACTTACTACAACGATGTAGTTATTGCGGTTTTCAGCCGCTGGATTGTTCGCTGGCCCTATATTGAATGCCTCCCACATGGGAACGTAGCGCAAACAAGAGTTTCCAGGTGCGGTGGGAACTGTTCATGGTGTGTCCGCGTTGCGTCCCCCTGACCGTGACCGTATCGAGTTTCACCCTCTTGAATGGAAACCCTGGGTTCTTCGCCGCGCTCCAAGACCAGCCCTTGCTTCCGTTAGTGCCACGCGGGGTTGGCTGTGCCCAGGGCCATCCAACGGGCCATCTGCGCCTGCAGTGCTCATAGCGAGGGGCAGTGGAGATTCACCTGCAAGCTTCCTCCAATCATGCCTTCCCATCTGGCTCAGCTGAACTGGCGCCACTGCCTTGCGTTGCCATCCGCCCGCATGCGCATCCACCCACCAGCAGCCCTGCGCCCTGCACCCCGCATCCCCAACTCGACTCTTGCCTGCGCGGCCGTGCCACCCATCAGGGAGGTGCGCAACCTTCCGCACCCTGGCCGGGTGGTGACTTTGGCGGAGCGAACGTCCGCGGGAGGCGCAGCTGAGGGGGTCCAGCCTTGCTGCCTGTGAGGGTGGTGTTGCTTGCGACGAGTGACTTGAAGGCAGGCAGGCGGGGCAGTGCAGAGAGGAACAGCCCACTCGACAGGAGAGGGTTCAACTGCAACATCCAAGCTGCGCCAGGCACCAGCACCTCGCACACTTTCATGTCAACCATGCCGCACCACGATTGAGAATCTCGCTTCAGGAGCTAGTGGTGGGAGACAGGACTGGGAGGACGTTTTCGGCGCCGATGAATGCTGTGCACACACTGACGCTGCGCCGCATTAAGAGCGCTAACTACCGCTAGATTTTCTGTCTGTTTTGTTTAGCATTCTAACACACCGTTTACATTCCAGCTCCTCGGCCCTCGAAACCTCGTCTCACCGGGTCCAAGTTTCACATAGTTCAGCGGGCGGCGATGGGCCCGCTGACGGGCGTCGGGTGCTTCGCCATGCGCGCGGGCGCGCGGTCGGGCTACAGCAGCCAGGCGGGGCGCGCGGGGAATGCGGCGGACGAGGCGGAGGTGTCCAAGTGGTCGTCGCTGCCGCCCGAGCTGCTGCGCGAGGTGATCGCGCGCCTCGAGGACGACGACCGCGACTGGCCGCAGCGGCGCAGCGTCGTGGCGTGCGCCGGCGTGTGCAAGGCGTGGCGCGACATGACTCGGTGCGCCCCTGCCCCCACCTCGCCTCTCACCCGCCCCCGCATCCATCACTCCGCCCCATTCCGCAATCTGGGTCGCGCTCTTTGGAGCGAGCTGGTGACTCGTGTCCGCGCGTGCGTCGCATGTGGAGAGTAGGCGGGCAGCCAGAATAGAGGAACAGCGGAACAGCGGAACAGCGGAACAGCGGAACAGCGCAACAGCGCAACAGCGGAACAGCGCAACAGCGGAACAGCGCAACAGCGGAACAGCGGAACAGCGGAACAGCGGAACAGCGGAACAGCGCAACAGCGCAACAGCGCAACAGCGGAACAGCGCAACAGCGGAACAGCGCAACAGCGGAACAGCGCAACAGCGGAACAGCGCAACAGCGGAACAGCGCAACAGCGGAACAGCGCAACAGCGGCAACAGCGGAACAGCGCAACAGCGGAACAGCGCAACAGCGGAACAGCGCAACAGCGGAACAGCGCAACAGCGGAACAGCGCAACAGCGGAACAGCGCAACAGCGGAACAGCGCAACAGCGGAACAGCGCAACAGCGGAACAGCGCAACAGCGGAACAGCGCAACAGCGGAACAGCGCAACAGCGGAACAGCGCAACAGCGGAACAGCGCAACAGCGGAACAGCGCAACAGCGGAACAGCGCAACAGCGGAACAGCGCAACAGCGGAACAGCGCAACAGCGGAACAGCGCAACAGCGGAACAGCGCAACAGCGGAACAGCGCAACAGCGGAACAGCGCAACAGCGGAACAGCGCAACAGCGGAACAGCGCAACAGCGGAACAGCGCAACAGCGGAACAGCGCAACAGCGGAACAGCGCAACAGCGGAACAGCGCAACAGCGGAACAGCGCAACAGCGGAACAGCGCAACAGCGGAACGAACCCCTCCTTGCCTTGCTGCAGTTGCGTGCTGCAGTTGCGTGATGCAGTCGCCTACCGCCACGTGTCGTCGCAGCTCGCCGCGGAGCAGGCTGCAGCGCCTATGGCTCGGCGCGACCTACTTGAGCACAGCGGTTTCTCCTGCCGCACTACGATCTGCCGTGCGCCATGCGCCATGCGGGTCGTTGCCTTAGATCACGCCGTGCACGGCCTTCCAACACGTCCTGCCCTTTCTCTCTCTCCTTCCCACCCCCTCCAACCTATCTCTCCTCTTCCCTCCCCGCACTCCCCCCCTCCTCCCACCCCCCAACCTCCCCCCCCTCCCCCCACCCCCCCCCCCCCCCCCCCCCCTCCCGGTCGTCCCCCGCAGCGACCTGCTGCAGTCGGTGGGATCGTTCGAGGGCGGCCAGATCTCGTTCCCCGACGAGCTGCGGCGCGCGGGCCCGCGGGAGCGCAGCGTGGAGTGCTTCATCCGACGCAGCCGCAAGACGGGCACCTTCACGCTCTTCCTCGGCGTGCCGCCCGCGCCCACGGAGACCGGCAAGTTCCTCATGGCGGCGCGCAAGTGCGGCTGGCGCCCCTCCAGGTACGCACGCCGTGCCGTCACGTCCGCAGTCGTGGGCCGGGTGGGGGGTAGGGCGGGGTGGGTGGTGAATGGCAGGCGTTGCGCAGTGGACGGTGAGTGCATGGTGGCTATCGAGGCTTCTCATTCCTCTCCGATCCCCTCTCGCCTTCCCTCCCGCTTCTCTCATGCCCTTTCTGCCTGTCCCGACCCCCCCCCCGCCCCCCCACCACCCACCCACCCCACCCACCTCCCCCTCTCCCCCCCGCCCCCCAGCATGGAGTACATTGTGTCGTTGGATCCGCGCGACTTCTCGCGCTCGCGCTCGTCCTTCGTGGGTCGCCTGCGCGCCAACTTCCTCTCCACTCGCTTCGCCATCTACGAGTCGCCCAACGAGGCCAGTCCCGCCGCCCGCCCGCCCAACCCGTGCCTGCTTGCTTAGTCACGCCTTTCGTACTCGCCTTGCCCGTGGAGTCCCATGCTCTCATGCCGCCTCCTCAATTCCCTCTCACTCTCGCCCGCGCAAGGCGCTCGCCGCTGTCGCATGGAGCGGTCATGGCGTCACGCGCCCTCTCTGCGCTGCACCGACCAATCGTCCCTATCCCATTCCCCTTCTTTTCGCCTCGTTTCCCCGTTTCCCCGTTTCCCCGTTTCTCCTTCCACTTACCGTGTTCCCCCCCCCCGGCACCCCCTCCCCGCGCCCCCAGCAGCCGGTGAACCCGGTGTGTTCGCCGCCCATCGCCAGCAGCAAGGTGCATCCGGGCTACAGCCCTCTCCTCGCGCCCTCGCCCGCGCCCGCCGCTCCCCCGCCGCCCGCCGATGCCTCCGCCAGCAGCAGCAGCGGCGGTAGCAGCAGCGGGCGGTGGGTGACGGCGAGCGCGTCGTCGCTGGCCACCAAGAGCTCCGACTCCGCGCCCGCCTCCCACGCCCATGCCGCCGCCTCCTCCTCGTCCTCGTCCGCGTCGTCGTCGTCCGCGCTGCGCCCCTCGTTCCTCTCGTCGTCCTTCGACGCCAGCAACGGCGGTCTCTCCGCGCTCCTCTCCTCCCCCTCCGCCTCCTGCGCGTCCGCCGCCTGCCACAAGCCGTCCGCCGCCACGCTCTCCCCATGCCTCTCCCCCGCGCCCTCCGCGCTGCCCCTGGACGGCCCCGTCGTGTCCGTGGCGTACGCGCTCAACGTGCTGGGCGCGCGCGGGCCCCGGCGCATCCTCTGCACGCTGCACCACGTGCCAGCTGGCGCCACGGGATTGGGCGGGGAGAGCGAGGGGCCGGGAAAGAATGGCAGCGAGTCGTCGGCGTCTGCCTCGGGCATGGCGGCGAGCGCGGGGGGCGGCGGGGTGGACATCTCGCTGGACGGCGGGCTGGTGGGCGCCGCCGCGGAGTCGGTGGCGAGCCAAGGCTTGGCGGGGCTGTCGCCGCCGCCCCTCTCGCTGGGGGAAAGCGCCACCCCCTCGCTTTCGCTCCCCGCCCAACGCTCACTCGCCTCCCCCGCTTTCTCGTCCGCCGCTGCTGCGCACGCCGCCCTCTTGACTCCGCCGTCCGCCTCGTCGTCGTCGTCGCTGCTCTCCTCGCCGCCCGCCTTCACTCTCTCCGACACCTCCCCCTCCCTCTCCTCCCCCTACTCGCCCGCCCTCTCCGCCAGCTCGCGCACCTCCTCCCCGCGCACGCTGCTCAGAGGCGCGGGCAGCAGCGGCGGGGGGTCCTCCGCGCGGCAGCTGGGGCGGTCGTTGCTGGGGCAGAGGCAGGGGGTGGCGGAGGAGGAGGACGGGGAGGAGATGGGCGCATCCGCCGCCCTCGTGCCCGCGCCCTCGTTGTCGTCGCCCTCCTTCGCCCCCACCGCCTCCCTCTCCCCCGTCCTCCCCTCGTCCGTCCCCGCCTCCCCCACCCTCCCCGAAGGCGACTTGCTGCCGCCTGCCGTGCTGCCGCTGTGCGCCGCGCCAGACGCGTGCGAGTGCCGGCAGTGCGGGGGGAAGCAGCGACACGCGCAAGGGCAGGGGCAGGCGCAGGGGTGCGGGGCGCAGGGCGAGCAGCAGCTGCTGGCGGAGCCGATGATTCTGCGGAACAAGCCGCCCAGGTGGCACGAGCAGCTGCAGGTGAGCGCGCATGGCGTGAGCAGCTGGAGGTGAGCGTGCATGGCGCGAGCAGCTGCAGGTGAGTGCGGGGGGGGGGGGGGGGATGAAGGTGCGTTTGCCCACAGCACAGTGACGTTGAGCTGGTGCTCGCTGCCTCCAGCTCAAAGCCAAGTGCCCATTGGTGTTTGTGCCCCTTGGTGTCTTTGCCCCCTTTGTGTGCGTGCATGCGTGGGTGCAGTGCTGGTGTCTCAACTTCCGAGGGCGAGTGACGGTGGCGTCGGTGAAGAACTTCCAGCTCATCGAGGGCAATGCGGGCGGTGCAGTGGACGACGCGGACCGGCCGGTGGTGCTGCAGTTTGGCAAGATCGGCAAGGACGTGTTCACCATGGACTACCGCTACCCGCTCTCCGCCTTCCAGGTGCCCGCTCTCCGCCTTCCAGGTGACCCTCTTGAGTCACATTGCGCCATGGATGAGCATTGCGCCATGGATGAGCATGGCGCCATGGATGAGCATTGCGCCATGGATGAGCATTGCGCCATGGATGAGCATTGCGCCATGGATGAGCATTGCGCCATGGATGAGCATTGCGCCATGGATGAGCATTGCGCCATGGATGAGCATTGCGCCATGGATGAGCATTGCGCCATGGATGAGCATTGCGCCATGGATGAGCATTGCGCCATGGATGAGCATTGCGCCATGGATGAGCATTGTTAAGAAACTTTGTGAGAGGCGACCTGAGCCTGCTGCTGTGGTATGAGCGCACATGGATGCCGAGACGCAGAAAGCAGTGCAGCAGGCTGAATCCATGGATGAGCATCGCTTGCTTCGCCCACCCATTGTGCTGAGCGCCTTGAGTGACCTCTTCTCCCTTCACCTGCCCTGCTGCTCCCCTGCGTGCAGGCCTTCGCCATCTGCCTGAGCAGCTTCGACACCAAGGTGGCCTGCGAGTAACACCAAGGTGGCCTGCGAGTCACCTGCTCCCCGCCCATGCCCTCACACCTCCCTCCACTCCCCCCAGCCTTCATTCACCTCCTCACCCATGGCTTGCCGCCCATGGCTTGCCACCCATGGCTTGCTGCCATTTCATGGCATCCCACCGCCGCCTAGTGACTTCCCCAGGTGTAGCAGCATCAGCTTGGTCCCTCCCCCACTAGGGGGGATGCATTCGTTGGTAGAGTGCGCTCGCTGCTCGCGAGATGCCATGTGCTGTGCGCCCGCTAGGGTTGGATTCCTGGCTCCCTGCAACACTGCGGACTAGATACGAGGGTTGGGGTAGAGATGTAGGTGCGGCTGCGGCTGGTGTTGGATTCATTAGAGCCCCTTCCAGCTAGGACGTGTTGCACCGCCAGCCGCATCGGCTTAGGTGTCTTGTGTGTGCCTGTCGAGTTTTCTGAGCTGAGTGTGGTGGAGCGTAACTGAGGTGTTGTGTTTCAGACAAGGCATCTTCTGAACACTGCTGGGATTAGCACACTCATAGCCATCTGTGCCCACAGCTTGCTAGAGAGCGTGTTCCTAGCACCCTGTATCAACTGAACCTCGTTCCAGCGTTAGGTTCTTCCACGATACCGAATTGCACTGAAAACTACTGTGCACTCTTAAAGCCACTGGCTAAAATAGTCTCTCAAAGGCAGGTTTCAAGAGAGCCCCTCTTGATACGGGGCACACTTGAACTTTTTTGTGTTGTGCTAAATGGTGCGAGTGAGAAGTTTATGCTGCACAGGGCAGCACCGAATGCCAAATGACGCTCACCGAACTGACTTTGCGACGATGGGAGATCCCAACCTCACTCTACCATAGGGAGCGCAACAATTGTGGCGACTAGGGCAACATGTAGCTAACTGTAAAATCTGTCAACTTATACATGTTAGCTGTGTACAAGTTATAGGCTAGACTGGGGTATGTTTCTAGTGAGTACAACCAGCTAGTATTTGTTCTAGGTTTCCACTTCTAGTTCATTATTCAGTTCTTACTTAAACATGGTATCATGCGTAGATTAGGATCCCCCACCTACCGCTTCCGCCCGTACCCTAGCTAGGCCCCGCCGCTTCCCCCTGGGCCCCGTCGCGCCTCCTAGCCCCGTCGCGCCCCTCCTGGGCCCTGCCGCGCCTCCTAGCCCCGTCGCGCCCCCCCTGGGCCCCGTCGAGCCTCCTAGCCTCGTCGCGCCCCTCCTGGGCCCTGCCGTGCCTCCTAGCCCCGTCGCGCCCCTCCTGGGCCCCGTCGTGCCCCTCCTGGGCCCCGTCGCGCCTCCTAGCCTCGTCGCGCCCCTCCTGGGCCCCGTCGCGCCTCCTAGCCCCGTCGTGCCCCTCCTGGGCCCAGTCGCGCCTCCTAGCCCCGTCGCGCCCCTCTTGGGCCCCGTCGCGCCCCCCTAGCCCCGTCGCGCCCCTCCTGGGCCCCGTCGCGCCCCCTAGCCCCGTCGCGCCCCTCCTGGGCCCCGTCGCGCCTCCTCGCCCCGTCATGGCCCTCCTGTGCCCCGTCGCGCCCTGCCTGGCCCCGACGCGCCCGCTTGGCCCCGTCGCACCCTGCCTGGCCCCGCCGCGCCCGCCTGGCCCCGTCGCGCCTGCCTGGCCCCGCCGCGCCTTCCTGGCCCCGCCGCGCCTGCCTGGCCCCTGCCGCGCCTGCTAGGCCCCGCCGCGCCTCCCTGGCCCCGCCGCGCCTCCGTGGCCCTGCCGCGCCTGCCTGGCCCCGTCGTGCCCGCCTGGCCCCGCCGCGCCTCCCTGGCCCCGCCGCGCCTCCCTGACACCTGCCACGCCTGCCTGGCCCCGCCGCGCCTGCCTGGCCCCGCCGTGCCTGCCTGGCCCTGCCGCGCCTCCCTGGCCCCGCCGCGCCTCCCTGGCCCCGCCGAGCCTGCCTAGCCCCGCCGCGACTGCCTGGCCCTTCCGCACCTGCCTGGCCCCGCCGCGTCTCTCTGGCCTCTCCCACTACTCGCCTGGCCCCTCTTCGTGCCTGCTCGGCCTGTCGTGCCACCTCGGGCTCCGTCTCCTCTGCTCGCCAGCGCCGGGACGTCTCGCGGCTGCCGTGCTGGAGAGTGCCGCCGCCGTGTTCCTGCGTCGCTGTGTTCTTGCGCAACTGTGGAGCTGTGCTGCTGACCCTGCACGATGGCCGACTTTGTGCTCCGCCTGGACGCTGAGGGTCATGCGGTTGACTTCGCCGCCTGGCTCTCCGATCTCCGCCGCCACCTTACAGGTCAGCGCCAGGATGGCCACTCTTTGGTTGTCCATGTCGATGGCTTGCTCCCCCGCCCCCCCGCACCTGCTCCCCTCCCTGCTGACCCGTCCTCTGATGACCTTGAGACCTTCTCTATTGCTGCGCTTGCCTGTGCGGTCTGGGACTCGCGCGATGCAGTCGCTCAGGTTGCTATTAGCTACGCCCTCCCAGTGTCTGAGCGCTCTCGCTTTGCTACTATTGAGACGGCCAAAGCTTACTTAGCCGCCGTTATTGCTCGCTATTCCACACCCGCGTCTGCTTCTGCTGGCCGCCTGCTCTTCCCTATGCTTTTCCCAGACCTTGCAGCCTTCCCCACCGTCGCACACTTTGCCACTCACCTGCGTGCCCTAGAGACCCGCTGTCGCACTGCCGCCCAACTCACAGCGCCCCCCCCCCCTTTCTGCATGACGCTCTATTTTATCGCCATGCGCCTGCCAGACCGCCTCGCTAGTGCTCGCGATCACTTTCTTAGCCAGCACCCGGGTGATCTCATCCTCACCGCCTTTGTCGATACCCTCACCGAGATCGAGACTCGGCAGCGCACTATCGCTCAGTCGAGCGGTGCGCCGGCAGTCTCTATCTTTTACGGCTGTGCCCCCTCCCAGTGCACGTTCACTGACATTTTGGCTGCGGTCGCCACGGCGACCCCTCTCACCGAGACGGCTGCTGCGGTCCACCTGCAGAAGCGCTCGCGCCGTGGTGGCCGTGGTCGTCAGGGAGGTAGGGGTGGTGGTGCAGGTAGTGGTGGTGGTGGTGGTCGTGACGGTAGTCCGCCTGATGGGACTACCACCTGTGGGCAGGAGCAGCAGCCCCAGCCACAGCAGGAGCAGCCCCAGCAGCAGCCGCCGCCCCAGCAGCAGCCGCCGTCCCAGCAGCAGTCGCCGCAGCAGTGTGCCCGTCTCCTGGCTGGCTGGCACGGCACCTCCGGAGGTAGTGGCCGTGGTGGTGGCTTGCGCAGCTTGGCGTCTACCGGCGGCTCCGGTGCTGTGACCTGCGAGTACCAGCTTCAGACCGGGCCTCTCCGCGGCACTCTGTGCCGCCGCCAGCACCCGACCGCCCGCTGTTTCCGCCGCCTCGACGATCTCTTTCGTCGTCGCTTTGGCCCGGCCCCGGACCTCCCCAACTGGCACAGCCTGCTCCGCCAGGGCGTGCCGATCTTTGAGTTAGACATGGATCAGATAGGTGCTGCTTTGCATGCTTTGTATTCTGACGCTTCTAGTGTTGCTGGATCTTATTACCCTGTGTACTCTAGCCTTGGTGTAGCACCATTGTGTAGCTTAGCCTCCCCTGCTGCGTCAGGCGTAGGACTGCCTAGTTTGCCTAGCCTAGTCTCTGCACCGGCTCCGTTCCCGGCCTCCGCCGATGCTTCGCTGTCCTTCACTCTCGACTCCGGTGCCTCTGCCTGCTTCTTCCGCGACCGCTCCGCGCTCACGCCGCTTGCTACGCCTGCTGTTGTCTCTCTTGCTGACCCCTCTGCGGGTCCTATCGTCGCTCGCAGTTCTACGTCCCTTCCCTGTCCAACAGTTCCCTCGGGCTCCCTTACAGGTCTCCACGTTCCCTCGTTCTCGAGGAACCTGGTTGGTGTCGGCTGTCTCCAGGACCTCGGCGTCAACACCACGTTCCCCAGGCACGAGCGGTTCGCTGTCTGTTCTGAGTCTGTCTCAGGTTCCCTTCTTGCGACGTTCCCCCAAGACTCGGTGGCCGGTCTGTTCACCCTAGACACCGCTTCCCCCCCGGTTGGTGCGTCCTCCCAGGTCGCTGCTGCTTGCTCGTGTCGGTCCCTCACTCACCCGTCCCTTCTCTTACACCACCGCCTAGGTCACCCTGCACTCCCACGTCTGCGTCACATGTCCCAGCACGGTCTTGTCTTAGGTCTCCCTGCGTCGCTCCCTGCCCTTCCTCCCTCGACTGCGCCACCGTGCACGCCTTGCGTTGAGGGCCGGCTCCGCCGCTCCCCTCACTCCTCCTCGTTGCACCCTGCTACTGCCCCCCTTCAGACCCTGCACCTGGACGTTTGGGGCCCTGCCTCCGTCCCCGGACCGCGAGGTGAGCGCTACTTCCTTGTGCTCGTCGACGACTACACGCGCTACACCACGGTGTTTCCCCTGGAGCGCAAGGCCGACGTGCCCGACGTTCTTCTCCCGTGGGTCGTAGCTGCGCGTCTTCATCGCGGTCTCCCCGTGTTGTGTCTCCACTCTGACCGTGGTAGCGAGTTCGCCTCTGGTCGACTTGGACAGTTCTGTCGTGCGGAGGGCATCACCCAGTCGTACACGTTGCCGGACTCGCAACAGCAGAATGGGGTCGCTGAGCGCCGCATCGGCTTGGTCATGGAGGTCGCCCGTACCTCCATGATTCATGCCGATGCCCCCCATTTTCTGTGGCCGTTCGCTGTTCGCTACGCTGCTCACCAGCTTAACCTGTGGCCACGCTCCCAGCGGCCGCAGGTTTCGCCGACCCTCTTTTGGACCGGGTCCCCCGGTGACGCGTCTGTGTTCCACGTCTGGGGCTGCCTTGCTCACGTTTGTGCCTCTGGCACGGACAAGCTCACTGCCCGCACTGTCCCCTGTGTCTTCCTCGGTTTCCCCCTAGACTCGTCTGACTGGCTTTTCTACCACCCGCCGTCTCACCGCTTCCTCCACTCTCATGACGTCACCTTTGACGAGTCTGTCTCCTTCTACTGCCGCTTCCCTCACCGAGGTCTCCCGGTTGCCCCCCCCCTGTTCGTTGCTCCCTCTCCCCAGGTAGCCCCTGCCCCTCTCCCGCCTCGTCCTGCCCCGTCTGGTGTCTCTCACGTCACTCCCCTCCGATCGGTTGTCCCCGTTGAGGAGTCTGCTGACTCTGGTGGTACCCCCGGTCCGTCCTTGCCGCGTCCCCCTTCCCCAGTGCCTCCGCCCCCACCGTCGCAGTCGCCGACCCCGCTGCAGCCGCCGCCGCCGTCGTCGCCGCAGCCGTCGCCGCTGTCGCCGCCGCCGCAGCCGTCGACGCCGCAGTCGTCGCCGCCCCTGTCGTCGCCGCTCTTGGCCCCTGGGGGTGCTGGTGTTGAGGAGGATGTTCGTTCTGCGTCTTCTGGGGGTGCCGCTGGTGTTGGAGGGGGTTCTCGCTTTGGGGGTGTTGGTTCTAGGGGTGCTGCTATTGAGTGTTCTGCCGACGGTCGTCCTGCCTCTGCCGGTCCGAGAGTTCCGGCCCAGCCGTCACCGCCGCCGCAGCAGCCGTCGCCGCCGGTCTCCGCTCTCCGCCTGCTCGGCCTTCCCTCCCCGGACCGCGCGTCGGTGTCTCCCCCACCGCCTGCTGACCTTCCTGTCTACGGTCCTGTGTTCCCGCCGCCGGACTCGTCTCCGGCCCGTCTTCCTCCTCGTTCCCCT